TAAATGCTAAAAATACAAATTCATTCTCTAAAGTGAATGAGGTGCATGCCCACCATGCTAGGCGTGGAAAAAGTCACGATCTTTGGTCATAGATGTTGTATCACTAAGAATGTCTCTAGGCAGACATGTGCTATTTTTTTGTTTGTATTGGACATAATTGGTGACACATTCTATAATAAATCAAAAGTTTCTTACTTTAAATACTTTCATACTTTGTCATGATCATCTAGGACATCATGGGTCTATAAGGACGAGATGAATTATAGAAAACTAAAATGGACATTCATTATAGAACATAAAGATTCTTTTAAATGATAAATTTTCTTTTAATGCGAGTTAGCAAGGCAAGTTAATTGTGAGACAATCACAAACAAAAGTTTAGATTGAGTCCCTTACGTTTGACGAACCTATACATGAGGATATCCATGGACCTATCCACCTACTTAGTGAGTTGTTTAGATACATAATGGTCCTAATAGATAATTCTTCTAGATGGTTTCATGTGTGCATATTTTTATCTCGCAACTTGATGTGTCCAAAAGTATTGTCATAAATAATGTGATTACAGACACAATTTTGTGATAATCAGATTAATCTATTTAGTGATGGAATAATGACTCACCTTTAGAAGAGGTAGAGTAATTGAGAAAAAATAAATCTAAAATTTACTCGTGGAGTATTAAAACTAAAATTTTCTTATATAATAGCAATAAATTGGAAATTTACTAAAGCAAAAAAGGCACATGACATAGTAACATTGGAGTTTACGAGGACTAATAATTTATAGTTGACATGAATAATCCCTAAATTCTGAAAAGTATTAAAAGTGAACATGAGCCCGTTCACCTATCATGAAATATGATAAAGAGATGCATCTATATTATAATAACATGTGTGTTTTTTGTCAACTTGCAGTTTGACATTCACAAAATTATTTGTGCAAGATAATTGAGCTAAGAGTACAGGTTTCATAATATGAAATCAAGAAAATTCATCTTGATAATATTGATAAATATATAAGATGATGTGACATTAAATGTCTCACATAGTGAAATCATTGATTATGAAAATGAAGACTCATGTGTTGATCTGAAATATGATACTTCATACAAAAGCAATTGTATCATTCAGACCACTAAATTATGATCAAATTTTATATCAATTGATTTATGCTAAGGGACCAAATATTTTCATTTGATTTTTTTGATATGTATTATATAATTAATGAATATACAATGATGCACAAAGATAGATTCTCTAAATGATTGAGATATATGTTAGTTTGTCTAACATAAGGGGGAGCTAAGAAGCAACACAAGAGTTCTAAATACTCCTATTGGATGCTTCTAGACGATATAGTCTACGACATGCATGAATACTGACAGACGAATCATTCTAAATGAAATAATCCTTGAAATGGGGAAAGGATCAAATAATCAAAATGATCATAATAAGGAGATAATGTGCTCTTGGAGAGCCCATGACATAACACTTTATGAAACCTCTTGAGAGGGGTAGCTACCTAAAAATAATTAAGTGATGAGATCTCAATAAGATTTGTCGTATTGTGAATCGATACAAAATGGTATATTGTTGCGATATATTTGATACAATAGCGCGCAATATTGTAAAGATTATTATGATATAAATTCTACGACTAATAAAGAATGGTGTGTAGAAATAATTATGAAGTGAAAAGTGGAATTATGCATCTTGGTAAGCGTAAAGATTATTTGGCTTACAATCAAGAGACTAGAAAATGTCATACATTTAATATTTAATGTTGTCACTTGACAAAGTTGGTATGAAAATATCTATTACGTTCCAAATCTAAAGCATATACATGTTTTTGGAGAACTTGTTTATCATCCTCATAAGGATTAAATAGATTCAAAATGCATAGAGCATACACAATTATTATTATGCAAGTTGATGACACGAATTGGAACTCTTGAAGGTTTTTCAAAAGGCAATAGATTATTTGCTTAAAGAAGTTGAAATTAGGAACTTGCAGAAATATTTGACCCTGATGGGGAAATTCATCAAAGGAGATAGAAGGAAGCATATTTCGTCAAAGTTTTTTTTACACTTATGAGCTCCCAAGAATGGTGATATCAACATGCAACAGGTTTGTTCAAAATAATACTATAGTTGATTTATTAACAGAGTCTCTACCAACTACAACTTTCAAGAAAATAGTACACAATATTGGAAAACAAAGATTCAAGTCTCTGGATTGATGTTCTCATAAACGGGAGTTAATACATTATGTACTTTTTTTCCCTCACAAGGTTTTGTCCCATTGGATTTTCCTTGTAAGGTTTTTAATGAGGAATTCATAATGCGTATTATTAGATATTGTATTCTTTTTCCTTGACTAGATTTTTTCACACTGGGTTTTATCTAGTAAGGTTTTAACGAGGCACATACTCTACGGAAATTCAAGGAGGAATGTTATAATTAATTTGTATTATAGTGAATGTCTAAATGTGCGGAGTCTATTTATGATATGGTTAGGAATTCAACTTGGGGACCAAGTTAGGTTTCACCTATAAAGGGGTTTTTCTTCATTGTAAATAATATTTGTGAAAGATCTATGAATCCTAAATATACTTCAAGATGAATAAGAAGTCTTTTTTCTTCTACCTACTTTATTCTTCTTTTGTTTTATATAGTTTTTGTAATACTACGAATGTCTAAAGCCTAATATAGATCCTAACATAAGAGTATAAGATTTGTAACATTGTTTTTATGTCAATTATAATGTATATAAGTCATTTAGGAATTTTTAGAATCAAAATGTCAAGGAACGTCCATGACGTCCGGAAATTAGTTCAAGAGGTGCTAGTGTGCCTCAGCCTATTTGACTGGGTTTTTAAGAGTCAGAAAATGAAGAAATTTGGTGGTGAGGTATCTAACACGTATTAGATTTAGTTTATAGTCTAAACATCTAGGTACGAATCCCCAAGGACCAACAAGGGCTTTTGAGGAGGACCCTTGCAATTTGGCAAAAAGCTGTCAAAAGGCAGTGTCTACCACGAGTTGCAGGAGACAAGGCGTCATTTGATCGACGGGACATCGATGCCTCCATATACAAAAACATAGACATTTTGGATAATGGCCCATTTGTACCATTATCTTACACTAACGACGGGTGTGCAGGACGAAGGGGCACATGGGTGTCGATTGACCTACGGCCCGTCAATCAGGGTCTCATAGCTCAGGCCCCTGTGTTGCTGCATTGTTTTATTTAATTCATTTAATTAGTTAGTTTATTTAGGAAGTTAATTAGGTATTAGGGGGTGGTTAATTAAGTTAGTTAAGTCTCTGTATAAACTACCCTAAGACTAAAACCTCTCTTAACTCCATAATTTCCCAAAAAACAAATTGCTCCTCCTTTCTCTCTTCTTTCTCTCTCCCAAAGAAACTCCATAGAATACCAAGCAAAGGAGGTATCTAGGTCTTAAAAGGATCAAGTTTTCTCCATCAAACTTCATCAATTAGTAAGGTATGAGATTCCTTTCACCTTTGGGATCTCTTTCCCCAAAAGGTTCCTCCAAATTGATTTCAAAAGTATGAAATTCAAGTGGGTTTACTTCCAATACGAAATTGATCTTGTGAATTGTTTTTTTTACTATTAATTTTGGTTATTGTGAGTATATTAACATGTATTGTGAATCACTTGGACTACATCTTAATGGATTGACCTAGTTTGTGGAAACATGACATTTTCCCCTTAACCCTAGGTTATGATCTTGAATTAAATTATGAAGTATTGATAATTGGATTGGTTAATGTATTACTATTTTTTGTTGTTATTATGCCAAGTTATTAGTAGATTATGATATATTGTAATTCAATTATGCCAGTTCTTGAGTAATTGACCTAGGTTGTGAAGTAGATCATGAATTTGACCTAAGTCTCTAATCCTAGGCTATGAACTAGTGATAAATTCTTGTGTAGTGATTCAATTAACTTCATTATTATGTTGGTTACTATTGTGTGATGATACCACACCCATTATTGAGTTGAATTGAATGGTTGATGGTAAGACCTTGATGATGGTTTGTGAAGGAGATTCGGGTAAGTCTTGTGATCTAAATTCCTTACTTTAATTATGATTACTTATGATTAAGTGATGAAGTTATACTGAGGTATACCTTATGTTACGATTGATTAGGTTAGTATGATGTTGAATTGGAATTTCTTGAACTATAGTTTGTGAGTTCTTTGCTAAGATGTAAATGTTATAAGGATGTTGATAACTTATCAATGGCCTTATTATGATATGACTTTGTAAATATGCTAACCTCACATGTATAAATTGTAATGAAAGGACTATACACAGGCAATTCTTATTTGAGCTATGATGATGATTATATAAAGGATATAGCCTATGACCTACATTAAGTTGTGATTATTAATAAAGGAATTAAAGGCATTTCAAAAGAGACTCTAGCTTTCCACCGAGTGAAATAGAGTAAGGAGTGTCCCTTCCCACATAGGGAAGGTAGGATCACTAAAGTACTCATGAGATTGGAGACTATAATGCATGTAACATAAAGAGGGTCCCAACTACATCTCCTAGTTCTTGGACTATGTTGCTCCTATAGGAATACTAGAAAGTGAATCCACATAGAAGTTATGTTAATGTTTTGGTACTACCTTAGCAAGTAGTATGTCTTCTTTCGGTGTAGGGTTCCATGATACCGTATTCCACATTATCTCATGTGGTATATATGTCGGTTAAGGCAAGATGTTCCAAAAAGGCAAAATGAAGTAATGAATGAACTCTAACTAGGGGTGACCTAAGGGGTATAGCTTAGTCTAGGTAGGGGTATGGGACTCTATTGTCACGATCTAAGAGTACCCCCTACAAGTTAGGGCATTATTGAATCAAAACACGGCGTACTCGACCTCTCGAAGGTGTTGTACAAGCTCTTTGACTTCGTTCATTGCATACATGTATGAAAAGTAGTGCGGAATTAAAACTTTTCACATGAAATAATAATACTTTAAAATATCTCTTTTATAGAAAAACATAATGGAAGTCTAAGTCTCAAAGTCGTCATCTTAGACATACGAATAAATTAGGACACGGACCATAATTCATCACATAGAATATAGCTAAGTCTATTACAATACTTTCAATAAGGAAATCTAAACATCAAGACGTCCTCAAATCTAGTGACGACATACCAACTCTTTACTTGAATGAATCACTAATCCAAGCTTCCACTTCGAGACTTCTCAAACGCGACCTATACCTTTAGAGATAGAAAAAATGTATGGAATTAGTACAAACACTTTTAGTAAGTATGGCATAATGTATAAATCATGACAAACAGACTTTTGTATAAAACATGGTCTTTTTTATTAAAATATCATAGTATAAGCATAAGAACAACATTAAACACCATAGAAACATATAAGATATGCATTTTATCAAATATTGGAGAATGTTATAGTGAACTATGTCACTTTACAGTGAACTAAGTTCAACTTCACAGTCACCTCTTTTAACTTGCTACCCTTTCACCAAAGGTTATCCAAAGACTCGCTTAAGTGATACGAAGAGAGACCTCCCATACACCCTCTCTAAGAAACCTAAATGATCATTAAGACTACTAAGATAAGACCATTATCACTTTATTTGTTAAACTCCCTTCCTATAGTTACTGTAAGACTCACCTAAGTAAGACATGAAGAGACCGCTCATACACCTTTTTCAAGCCTACCTAAGCAATCCTCAAAGATACTCTAGATAACTACTTTTTAAATAAAATTTCTTTACTAAAGTCATTTAGAAAACATTCATTACGTATGGACATTCACATAATGGTTTTAAAAAAGACCTAGCGCACTCGCACACTAACATCTTCAAAGCCTAATCATGCAATGTCTAGATAGCGTCTCATTCCACTACCTAAACTTCATAGTACTTATCCAACACTAGTATGTATCCCACATGATTAGAATAGGCAATAACCGACATAGACCATACTAGCTAGGCATGGAATTCGAAGTCTACCCTACTCCGTTGGAGGGTGTTCTACTTGCCAAGGATAGTACTAGGACACATCCCATGTAGGGACATGGTTAAGGAATATCAAGGTCTTTTATGCACTCTAGTCTCCTTATCAATCACATATACAGTGTACTCTACTCTCCTTCTTAAGTAGAGATACAACCCATAACATATTCACTTGGTGCTAGACTTTGTTCTCATAGACTTTGTGCTTCAACTAGTTCGTTCATTTTCAGTTGTTCATACTTCTACTTCACTCTAATCAGATGAAGGCTGGTGCTTCAAATATAAAAATTTTATCTGTCAAAATAACAAATTTGTGTCAACTTGAGAAGAAAAGTTCTAATACATTTTTTCTACTATGTTTATCTCCTTTTCTCTTCAACAAAATCAAGATTAACCACAAACAAAACAGGAGTCATCCATATAATTTAGTAGAAAAAGATCTGAGACATAATGGAAGTATTTCAAAAGATAGAGAACATAGAACCAAAAGATAGGTGGAAATCAAAACTAAGTAGAAAGAAAGCTAATAAAGTACAAAAAAATTTTGAAAAAAAAAACATAGAGTGCCAAGTATTGCATCACAGTCCATGCCAGCAAATGTTGGATTTTATAGAAGGCAAAAATGTGATGTTTTGAACGGAAGATGAGTACTGTACAACAACTTAAATATAATTTTCTATAAGTTTTTAATTTTGATGTAATATACAAGATGTAAAGGACGAAAATAACATAGTAGATTTCATAGTTACTCTACAAAGATAGGACTTCCACCGTAGGAAACCTTCTTTTCGTTTACGTACAAAAGGTTTTAACTTATTTACTGCCTTAGCACCGCCATAGTGCTAAGTTGTTCCACTTTTGAATATATAACATACTTACCTACTTTTATTTTTTAAAACAAATAAATACTAGAGTATATAAGTACGATATGTTTTCTTGAGATATTTTCATAAATTTAGCCACACCCTTTAATTTAATTTAACAATTTCAAATATTAGGTGTAGATATGAGAATCAAGGGGGGAACAAATGACAAATTAAAATAAAAGTTTACTACAATACCATAAAACACAGATCAATGTGCAGACAAAGATAATTTAAAAATAAAGAACTTGAGAAAAGAATTGTCAAAGGAGGGGGGTAGGAATTCACTAAAAGCTTACGAAATCAATGGAGTACCAAAGATGACGCCTTGCTTCAAAATATTTTGTATTTTCATGAATGTAAAGAGTTATTTGTGGTGATTTAGTTGCTCTTTGGTAATGTCAAGCTAGAAGATTGTTGGGCCCTCAAGCTGTAAAAACAGGAGACAAGTTTTGAATATTTGAACAACAGGTGTGGAAATCCAGTTGATCATGTTTGAAAGAGGTGGCACACTGCAGGATGCATTACTTGCCGATATAAAAAGAATTGTGCAGTCATCTTTGACCATCAAATGTATGACTAAGAGAAACTCTGCAGAGAAACTGTTAATGTGCAAAGTAAAGAAAAATACACGTGCTAAAATTAAATCATTATGAATTTGCAGCATGTATTTTAAAGTAACTATTCTCTACTAATTAAAGAAGAAAGGAGCATGTAAGTGGTGCAATCACTGTAACTACTTCTACCTGGTGATCTAACAAATATCTTTATTTGACAATATTCAGTTTGAAAGATAAGAAGAGTCACTCTACTTCATGTACATCACATTATAAAAAAAAATTATACAATTTCCCTCTTCCTTTTGAAAACTTACTTTATAATTCTGTGTAGAAGATTAGAAAGTAGACACTTTTCTAGCAATTTCAAACTTCAAATTGATATTTTAAAAAACCAATGCACCTACTGCACACATGACACTTCAAATGCTAACAACAGTATGCTTGATCTTGAGTAAATGAACTTAATAAGAACATAACTTTCCATCACACTAGTTATCATAGAACAATTATAACATATTAAATATATTATATAAAGATAACATATTCGCAAGAAATTATAGTTCCAACCGTATGATAGGGTTTGCATTAAGGTGTACACTAAGGATCATTTGGTTGGAAGTTAGTTATCCTCTTATTGTTATTCCCCCATGTATGTGAGATAACTTATCAGTAGTATAAATAGTGGAATAAATAACCAAAGAATACCTAATACCTCCAATCAAACGTAGGATAAAATAATTCTATATTTCATCCCGAGATTGTTATATCGTATACCTCACATAAAACAACTCCTAAGCTTCTGCGAAAGCTAAGGAAGCCAAAGGACAAATGGTCTAATTCTTATCTGGTTCCTTCAAACTTGTAGATGATATTTTTATCCATTATCCTATTATGTTTAGCATGACCAATAAAATCAAATGCCTTGATGGTAAATAATAAAAGCTTAAACATTTGTATGGTAAACTAACATACTTATCCAATCCAGGAGTATTGTGGTAAATAAGTAGTAACCATGAAAATTATAGTTCACGAATCAAGCACTCATAGCATAAAATATGTTTGATTGTGGAATTAAGAAGACCAAAGGATCAAGTTTTAAAAGCTATAACCATATCCTCATTAAGTAACCATAAGTGCTTATGATAAACTTGCACAGTATCACTGTCCAACGCCACCTGATAACAATAAATTATCCATGATTTCTGAAGTTATAGACAGTCTTATTGAACATGTTATGAGAGTTAACTGCATCTCCTATTTTATCCCAAAAAGTTGCACAAGGACTATTATTTTACTTAGTTGTATGTTAACTTTGTAACTCAACACTAAATTGTATTGTCAAATAATTAAAATTATCTTATTTTCATGTCAAAAATATTTCTTTTATAAGATTAAATTAGTTGTTACAATCAGCATCCCTATCTTGGAGAGTCTCCGGAGAAATTTCTTGTTGAAGCTAGGCTTACTACTGAGGAAATTCCTGCAGTTGAGGTTGTTGAGTGGCCTACAATTATGAGGATTTTGACAATGTTTTTCGGCAAGGAACAGAACCGTACCATGAATGCAAGTGACTGTTTGGCCAAAGAATGTGCACTGCAATGCGCTATTCTCAGTCTTACCTTTAAAGTGCAGGAATTATAGGTCAATAAAAGGTTCCCTTTCCCAATTTCATTATCATGGAAGGGGCCTGCACCAGGTGCATGAATGGACTTCGAAAAATCATCACCTCACAATTTTTTTCTCAAAGAAAATCCGATACCTAGTGTCAGCGTCATGATGCTCTTCAGAAATATGACAACCCTGTTCATTTGTCTGTAGGCCTATAATAACAAAAACTAAGACAGCGACTCCTGATATACCATCATGTCAATCCCCTCAACAAAGTGAGAAACAACCTCCGAGTGCAGAGAATTCTAATGCAGAAAATGCAAATGCAACTATCGGTACCAATGCTAGAAGCGAGTAATACCTGCTGCCAAGCTAATTTAAATAGACAAATCTGAGAATACGCCAAGTTTTTCATGAGTTAAGTTGATTGTGTGATGTTCAAAGAGTTCATGAAGGCAGAGACTTGGTTTGATCTGTATTACTTTTTTCATTTTATTTGCAACTTTAAAGGGTCCTATAACAGCATGCAATCAATATTTTGTCGTTAGATTGGTGTGATCAATATCGACCAGCCATGGCATGTCAAGTTATAATGATAATGAAACTCCAAAACCAGATTTTCAAGGTGCTTTTTGAATGTAAAATTCAATTGTTCTTAAAAAATAGTTTTTACCACTAACATCACTTGGGATCAGATAAATATAATATGAGAAGAAGTGTTATCAAAAGATATAAAATGACACTCAATTAGAAGATTTAATGTTCAATAAACAACTTAATATTTTAATAAGCTAGGGAGCAAGAACTATGATCAGTAAGCATATAATTTCACAATCATCTATATGTATGACATTTCAGCAACGACATCTCAATGTTTTACAAGTGATTCTAACAATTCTTTCAATCTATAATCAATCAGATACACTAAAATAGGTAACTCATATAACTTTATCAAAATCTAATAATGGTAGAGTTGAAAAGCAAAAACATTATATGTCAAACATATCCTTATTAAGCATGAATGCATCTGTATTTTATAGAAGATATTCAGCATACCAAATTCTACAATTTGTACAATATAACAATCATACAGAAGCCAAATTGGCCTAAAATTCACATAATAAATAACATGAACAGTAGGACAAATGATAAACTATTTCATTCCACAACAAAAGACATCCAACTATTTTCTAAAAAAAGTTATCCAAATATCATAAAACTACCTAAAGAGCTTAAAATTGTTCAAAAAAAAGTCAAACTTCAACCAAAAAATAGTAATGAATCGCATATCCAAAAGAAAATATAAACAAAAAAATAGAAAATGGATGAAAAACACTAAAAACAGAGAAGAGAAAAAAATAAGAGTCACGTTAGGCAAAGGGTCGTGTATTTACCACATTCATAAAATTTAGCATTATACCTTAAAATAAAAGGAAAATGGATACATTTTTCCTTCAATAATTGAAAATTTCCAAATTGTATGTTCCTAATTTGATTTTCAAAGAAAATTCTACAATGATAAAAGTTAAACTCCAAGAAAAAATGATCAATAACTTACCTTGATAAGAAGGAGAACAAACCCTAAGACAAGAAAAATTCACAAGATGTGTAGAGTGGGTGTCCAAGTTCAAATCGCCATCAGAGAAGGCAAGTCATTGCAATGAAGAATGGGAGTTCAAAGCTCCACTATAGAGGAAGGCATCGTGGTGTTTGAGGAGTGTGGTTTTTTACGTGAGCGAAGTTTAAGAGAACAAGGTTAAAAACTTTGGTTCTTTTTTATATATAAATTTAAGGAATTCATACCGTAATTCAATAATTACATTCTGTCCCGACAAGTTTAGTAATTAGAAAGAATCTCTTTAATTTGTTGAGTCATGATACTTTAGACAGTAACGATACATGATAAATGATACATGATAATTTAAAATTGTTAAGAAAAAATAGGGGAGAAAAACGGTAAAGTTAATGTTGTTACTAAAACAGCTTAATTTGTGGTAACAGATCATTAATCAGCATTAAATCAGCACTTAATTGGATATTAATTTCAAATTTTGAAAATCAAAGATTATATCATCTATTTTGAAAAAACAAATTTTTTAAACAGTCTTTTAAAATTGGAAGTACAGAAATTTTATTGTTGTTACAGTGGATTTTTCAAGATGAATACTTCGATTTTGATGAGACATTCCGGAATTTGGGTGAACGAATTGCAGTATGAAAGTTACAAAATCGATGGAAACGTTGTTGGAGATTCAATTTCGTTTTCTAATCTCAAAGCAGCAATTGCAGCCGAGTTGGACATTGATGTATCAAGGAAAGAAATTAAAATTCGATACATTGTAGAAGGTAACTTCTGTCCGATGAAACTTAAGAACGATATGAGTGTTAAACTATATTTTGAACTGAAAAAAAAGGAGCCTGGATTTTCAGTGTATCCATTATGTATTGACACAATTGAAAAGAAAAATGGTACTGTACATAACTTTGATGGAACAAGTGGAGAAATAACGTGTGTAGAAGGCACAACACATGATACACAGGCTTTGGCAATGGTTGAAACTAGATTATTTGAGTCAAATGTTATAATCAATTCAGATATTGTTGATGTGAAGACAGGTCAGATATATAAGGATAAAGCAACACTTGTAGATGTGATGACGAAATATAAGATAAAGAACAACTTCAAATGCAAAGTAAAGAGGTCTGATCAACAAAGGTATGATAGTGTTTTGATATTTTAATGTATCAGGTGTTGTTTTATATTTTAATTAGTACATGAAACATTACTATTTTATATGAAAACCTGCATGTTTCATATGTTCTTTTATATTTTAATGTATCATCATTTCAGAAATTTGTTTTTGATACATTGAAATAACTATTTTTGATACTTGAATATACTACTACTGATATATTAAGAATTGTATCAGTTTAAACAGTCATATCACAACTAGTGGATACTTTTCATTAAATTTTGATACTTTTCTTAAAAATTGGTTGATACTTTTTGTGTAATTCATTGTTTGATTACTTTAAACATTATTGTTGAATATATTATATGATGCATTTGATATGTGTATTAATGTGCTTAAAAAATGTACGCAGCTATGTGTTGGTATGCTTTTCAGACAAATGTGGTTGGACTATGAAGGCGTCGTGCAGAAAAAACCTGATATATTCATTGTTAGAAATTTCAATAGTGAACATACGTGTCCGATGAGGGAGAGGGTATTAACCAAAGTCCAAGCAACAGTCGGATTTGTAAGTGGAGTGACAGCTCCAAAATTGGTCAATTATAAACGAATTTATACTCCAAGAGATATAATTGATGATATTAGAGAATATTATGGGGTTGAAATATCTTACCAGCAAGCATGGCGTGCTAAAGAACGTGCACTCTCCATGATTAGGGGAAAACCATCTGCAGGATATAGACGGATGCCGCGATACATACACATGCTAAAAACTGTGTATCCAGATTCTTATATAAGAATGCATAAGACTGAAGAGGATGAATTTATGTATCTTTCATCGCCTTAAGACCATTCATTAGGGGATTTAAATATTGCAGACCAGTAATTGTTGTGGGTCGTGCACATCTGAGTGGAGCTTACAAAGGGACATTTGTATCAGCAAGCACACTTGATGGCGCAGGTATTTTTTATTTATAGTAATGATGTCTTTTTATATATTACATATCAAATAATATAATGTGTGTGTAATCAGGTTGCATATTTCCATTGGCATATGGTGTTGTTGACACCGAAAATAATTGTTCGTGGACATGATTTTTCGAACAGTTCAAACATGCATTTGGCGATAGAAAAGATATGTGTGTTGTTTCAAATAGAAATGAGAGTATCATGAAGAGTGTTAGGATTGTGTTCCCCGATGTACCTCATTATGATTGCATCTGGCATCTTTGGAAGAATGAATGTGGAAACTTCAAAAGGAGCAGAAAGGCCATAAGTGATCTATTCTACTATATGGCCAAGGCATATAGAAAGGAAGATTTTGATAAGTTGATGGCTAAGGTTGATAGAATTGATCACAGGGTTAAGGAGTACCTTGAATATGCAGGTTACGAAAAGTGATCAAGAGTTCATGCAACAGTAAACAGAGGTAGAATGATGACTTCAAACATTGCAGAATGTATCAATGGTTGTCTTGTTGAAGCACACCAATTAACTATATTAGAATTCTTGGAAGAGGTTAGAATTCTTTTTGGATCTTGGCATTGCAAAAACAGAGAAGTAACCTCATACACAAAGGACACATTAGGTAGAAAATTTGAGGAATTGTTGATTATAAACGCGGCTAAAAGTTTAAAAATGGAGGTATGTATCATTATATAATACTTTATATTATATGTATATAATTCAGTGTATCATTCTGCTTTTTTTAACATGATTTGTTTTTTAAAAGTTATATATTTAAAAATTTTAATGTACACAGGTTGTTCCGTCATCTGAGTTTATTTTCTCAGTTTATAAAAATGGAAGAAGATATATTGTTTGTCTTGAGCGGAAAGTATGTTGTTGTGGCAGATTTCAACTAGATGAGATACCTTGTTCACATGCAATCGCTGTATTGAAAAAAAGAATGTCACCAATATGAATCCGTATTGATCTGATTATTACAAGCCTGATGCGTTGGCAAAAACATATGAAATTCCAATGGTACCAATGCCAGATAAGGAAAATTGGTCAGATCCTAAACACGTGGTAGCTGAAACTGTATATCCACCTAGATACAGAAGATCATCTGGACGACCAAGAAAAAGAAGAAGAAAGAATGCAGATGAAAAGATTTCGGTGAACACAAACTGTTGTGGACAATGTGGACAAGAAGGGCACAATAGAAGAACTTGTACTTTCTACCCAAAAGAGAAGTGAATTAGTCATAATGTTTCTATGATATCAAGAATAATTTATAACGTAAACATTTTAATGAATTTCAGTTTTCATTACAAACTGCAAATTGAACACTTTGTGTTTGGATAAATAAACTTACAAACATGTGGTAATTAAATTTGAAGTCGTGCTTTTGATTATAAATACTTTGTTATTATTGGTGTTGATAAATATACTTGTGTCAATATTTGTTTTTAATATAAAATTTTATAAATCTTATGCTACAGTAAGATATGTAAATTTAAGAATTATTAGGTAACATAATGTACATGATACATATGGTTTATCTAGTGTATCGTGTACTTTTATTGTGTGTTTTCGGTACACATTGTTTATATAATGTATCATGTACTTTTAGTGTGTATCATTGATTTGCACAATGATACATCTCCATTAGATAAAAAATACAAAAATATTATTGAGGTTATTGTGTACTTTACAATGACTATAAATCATGTATCATGTTAATATATATAATTTAACTTGTGTAATGCTTTTTTTGTTATGTTTTTCTTGAAATATACAGTAAATAACTTTACTTTTAAAAAATAATACCAATTCATATAACTATGCTATTCAATTTACCTAAATATCATGTAAAATTTAAGGATTATAGGGTAACATATTGTACATGATACATACGGTTTAGCCAATGTTTCAGTTATTTTTAATGTGTGTTTGGTATATATGTATCATTTGGTTTTGCCCAGTGTATCATCTCCATTAAATAAAAAATTTAAAAATTTTTATGTCTATGTTTAATTATAAATACTTCGACTAAACTTTATTAAATGAATTAAACCTGTGTGGGGCTATAATATGTCTGATATTTATATGTTCAATATAAACATATTTGTTACGTAATGTTAAAAAAAATATTCATGGAAATTGACAAAACCAAAAAAATAACATTAAAAGGATAAAAATATTTGTTCAATAACATATAAAACCAATAAAAATAACATTAAAACATTGTTTTATCATGAAATGCTACACTATGTGAACTAAATCTTCTTCTGGTGGTGGTGTGACTACGCCCCTGGATTTTGGTAGATCATCATTGTCGCTAACATATTCGCACTGAGCCTTCTCACTTCCATTACTCCACAACAATGCTCCATATCTTTGACGCAGGTAATCAGAACTAAAATCAGCATATGATATATTGATTTTGGTCACTGATATACTCGGCAAATGCAGTAACATATAACCCACAGTCTCTACATTAAAAAGGGCAAATGAAATTTTTTTGATACTTACAGGCTATCGCATTCCTGTGTAGGGATGTCTTGTGCAAATTCAATCATGAAAGGGACTTGAGGCTCCAGAAGTGAACCAGTAATGTTGTCTTTATATGCATGACAATCAACAAATTTTGTGCGTTCATTTTCTTCAAAAAATCCACTATCAAGTAGGTATGAAGGAAGCATTTTAGACAACATCTTGATCTTATGAGGAATTGTTTTTTTCGCTGTGCTAATTGATGAGTCAAAAACTCGTATCAACCTGTTTTTCAACTCAACAACAGCCAACACCCAATGGAATTCTTGATCACAGTTAATTGGGATGTAGACCTCATCTACAAGATGCCATGGTAAAGCAGCTGGTATTCCAAGCCCTTTGATGATGTTAATAATTGACCTCTCATGTACAGATACAATTGAAGCGCGATCAATATGTTCTTGAGTAGTAAGACTATCATCATCATCGTCCATGTAATATCTATCATAACAGTTTTTTACATGTGACATGAACAAACAGTGGGTTGTTGTGTATCTGTATTGATCCATGCTGCAAAGTTTTGATTTTTTATGAAGGTAGTAAAAAATCACATCGATGTGCTATAAACAAAATGAAAACATGGTAAGAACTGATATACATATAAACAATATAAAAAATGAAATATAATTATGTGAATACATTATGATATTTTTGCAATTAAATAGTATGATACTTCTACAGAATGTATCATTGCTAATTAAATAGTATCATACTTCTACAGAATGTATCATGATGTTATAATATAGTTATGACTGATACATATTTCATAAATAGTTTAATATTATTACCTCATCAGACCAACATTTGTTTGGCTGTGACATGACATAAAACCAATTCTTGTTCATTGGAAAAGCAACAACAAAGTCCATCATCGTAAATCCAAAAGAAGAAGATTTTGATCTGTATTTATCGTCCGATGGGTTCCTGCATATATGATACATAAGCTTTCAATGTATGTACATGATACATAACACTCACTTATTTACAATTTTTATATAACAAAGTATCATGAATTAGTTGTATAAAAAATGATTACGCCTAACACTTGCAAAAAAATGTATAAAACTTACTTATTGTTATGGTTTTTTAGAAGCCCCCTTGACAACCAATTCATGTATTCCTCAATAAGTTTCGTCAAAACATTATCTGTAATGCCACATCCTTCGAACGGGAAATAGAGTCGAGTCATATCCTTCAATTTCTCTTTTCCCTTCTCGCTTGACCCAAAAGAAGTACAATATGGAGATTGAATCCTTCTCGAAGGCATTCTATTTCTATGCGCAGAGTGACTACATCAGTTCTAACAGCAATCTCCGTTATTGGAATATCAGTGGGTAATTGACTGTCGGTCAACAAGTACTGGCTGCTAGTTATATTCTGCGGATCGTAAGAATATAATGGTCTAGCATTAGTAGGATCTTTACCCAAATCTTTGATAAGTGCATCTATTGCTGCTTGAGTTGATGGCGATATTGTTGTTAAAGTGGAAGAATCCTGTATAATATGATGTAATTATTTGTATAATAAATTTGTGTGTAATGAAATTGTGTGTCATAAATCAAAATTGAAAAATGTACCGATGCATCCGTTGTTGTTTTTTCTGGCAACACATGAGGGATGTTGAGCTGAACATTGTCATCAACGTCTTGGTCCATGATATGTTCATTTAAATCTTGGTGTGACTGATGTGCGTCACCATCATGAATATGCAGTTTTGAAATAAAAATTGTTAATATAATTTGTGCTGATACGTAACATTGATTATAATCACATGAGACATAGTATTGAGTAAATATGCATGATACATGACATACCCAATGTATCATGATACAAAGCATTGAGTATATATGTATGATACACAACATACCCAATGTATCATAAACATTACCTTTGGATTATCACTGACTATTTGTTCACCCTCATTTACGGAAACACCAACACCACCCACATCGACGTCTCCTGAATCGTCGACGATATGATGCTCACCATTTTTACCAGAGAAACCACCACCATCCTCAGCTACACCACCCATATCATCGAGACCAATTGGTATTTCCTGAGAAGTTTGTTTGTCAGACTGAAATGTGTTTGTATTAGCCTACAAATTGATGTTCTCTTTGCCTATAGATTGCATCAGCTGGGAGTGATTTGCTTTTATCAAAATAATCAGTTCCTCAAATTTCTTGTCAACCTAAAAATTGTAGATACATTTAGGATAAAAAAAATTGTTTAAATAACAAAATAATTTACTTACGTAAGTTTTCAAATGTCCTTTCAACTCTTCAATATGAAGAATTATATTATTGACATTTTGTGAATCTGCATATCCATGAACATCAGCAGCCGGGTTCGGAGAAACGTCTGGAATAGAAACATGTGCATCAGCAGCCGATTTCGGTGACACTTGTGGAACAGAACCATGTACATCATCAGCATTCGAATGTTGAGGCAAACTTGACATGAAAACATGTACATCATCATCCGGTGTCGGAAACACATTTGATTGATCAGGCTGGTTCTGTTCTGACACCTTCTTTTTTTGAATAATCGATTTTTTTCTTCTTTTTGACGGTGGTGGAGGAGATGTATCAGACACTCTAGAATATGTCCTCAATAACTGTTCGGGCGGTTTTGTGGAGAAATTATCTAAATCATCTTCCTCGTTTGGTTGTACTAATGGTATTGATGTAGAATGAGCATGTTCAACTTGAGTAATATCAAAAGCTTCAATTTCCTCTGCTGTTGGGACAATGTTTGAACATGCATTCTGAATGTATCACAAACACATAAGATAATTTAATTGTTAGATACAGTAATATTTCATAATGTATCACAAAGACATAAATAACGATATTCCATATACAAAAATAAAATTTTACCTCTTGGAAAATGGTAGACATAAGCATTTCAAACTTTGCCTTTTCAGACACAACTCTCCAATTGCATATTCTTGGGATGACATTGCGTTCTCTCACAGCTATTTTAGAATTCAAATTGGATGTACATTCGTATATCTAAACATTTACTGCATATGGCATCCCATATAATCGGTACAACTTTTTACTAACGTCAAAATCCTGTCTAAGTGAACCAATTAGTTTGGAAAATGATAGCTGACCCCAAGGAAAATGTTGATATCTACCATCTTCAACCATTAGAAAGTCGACAATAGATATAGCTGTATTATCAAGAGTAGCTAATACAAATGTATGAATAAAGAACAGTATAGACATTTGGAGTGCATCCTGATTGCTCTCCCAATTACCCATCTTAAACCTTTGAACTAGTCGATGCTGTGTAACACTATTGACTGGACCAGGGAAATACTTTTGAAAAAGCATACAATTAGTTTGTTCTGGGTATTTGAAATCATTGGTATTTCCTCTAACCTTAAGTCCTGTTAATAATGTAAATTCATCTATACCAAATTTCAGGACACACCCGTTGCAATGTCTAATATGCAACACATTAGGGTTGCTTTGTTCCAATTCTAAAAGCAATAAGCACTTAGTTATTTGGCCCTGAAAATTACATTTAGAAATGTCTAAAAAGGGTCCAAAAATTGTATCCTTAAACATTTGGATAACATTCTCCCCTATGTATTTTTCAAAGTCCTTTAGGAATTTGTTGATAAAATTGACAGCAAACCTTATGGGATGTGTTGGTATCTTTTTAATCTTGTACTTCAGTGGCTGCAATTTGAAAATAAAACCACAAATTAAAACGATATAGAAATATAAATACTAAATAAAACAACTAATAACTTACTGATACATGGTTTCAGTTTTCAGAATTTCATACTACATGAAAAACATGTGATACATGTCTACAACATGTATCAGTGAATTAAATAAAACATTATAACATGTGATACATGTCTAATACATGTATCATAAACATCGACTAAACAACATACACAAAGATTCTATATGTATCATGAATTACAGCTGATGAAGCATTTATTAAACTTAGTGAATGATACATTATAACAAATTTCAAAACATGTATCAGTACATCAACTAAACAACTAATACCTTACTGATACATGATATCAGTTTTAAGGAATTCATACTACATGCAAAACATGTGATACATATCTACTACATGTATCAGTGCATTGACTAAACAATGTACACACAGATTTCTATATGTATCATCAAGCACAATTTATACTTTACTAAACTTATTGAATGATACATTATAATAAATTTCAAAAACTTCATGATACATATAAAATATTATGATACACAACAAATTCATGTATCAGTTGACCATCTAAAACACTATATACCCTTTTTCAAATGTATCAGCAAGCACACTTGAGTCCTTAAAATTTTTACTAATTTAAACAACACCATTTTTAAGTACCAAAATACTAACCCGAGACAATGTAGGCCTAACAACAATGTTTGCTGCTTCTTTTTTCCTTTTTTGTTGTATTTTGACAACCTTTGAGTTTGATGTTTCGCCAGAGTCTTTGTTTGAATCCTTCTGAAGATTCATAGGATCATGCAAAGACTTTTTCCTATTTTCTTTCCAATTTTCATCGTCGGAATCATATATCCTTCTATTAATTAACAGATACTATGATGTAATAGAACAATTAACAAAAACAAAAAAGAGAAGAATATACGAATTGATGATGGATTAATAATAAAAAGATGCTGGGTTCAAACGATTCCAGATTAGGAAGAAATAGACGATTATGGATTAAGAATAAAAAGAAGAAAAGAAAAAAATATGCTGGGTTGAGATGAATGAAGATGATTAAGGAAAAAAAAGAAGTGAAACTTGATGTTAGTAAGAACAAACGATAAAAGATAATGGAAGTTATCCTGCTTCCTAATTTTTTGAATTTTGAAATTTCAAAATTTGGTCTTTTATTTAAAATTAATTAAATTTAATAATTCAAAATCAAAAAGCTGATTAAAAGGTTAAAATTTAAAATTCAAAAACTGATTTAAGAGGTTGAGTGTTTTAATGGAGAAAAAATAGGCATTAAAATTGGTAAATGTGTATTATAGGAGAGAGAATGCAATGTATCTAAAAACTTACACTAAAATAAAAAAAAGAATTATGTAATATTTAAAAAAAGTAGGGAAAATTAGAGAATATAAAAATTATAATTGTGTATTTAAGTTATTTTTTCCTTTTTTATTTAGGTTAGTGTTTACTAACCACACAAAGTTATATTCTTAACGACGGATTATTTGTCTTTTTTTACTGTAAATTTAATATTACACGTATAAAGACTGGAAAAAAAATTCGGGCGCTAAAACTACAACAATAGCGACCACATACATTATCCTTCGCTAAGAAATTGTCGTTAAAAGACATGTTTTTTGTAGTGATGGGGCTTTACTTAGTCATTGCACTAGTGGACTTAATGAGGGTTCACCAGTAATGGTCTTGCTTTGGTTATGTTGTTATGAACTCATATACATGTTTGTTAATGTTGTAACTTGATGATAGAGTTGGCTTGACTATGTGCTCAATTATGTTGACTTGTCTAGATTTAGTATTGCTTGTCTTGTGATGTACACGGTCTTGACTTGATGAATATATATTATTGACTTGTATTGGTTCTTGAATATGCGTAAGGCTTTTCAAAGTAAATTGCATATTTTAATGAAAGGTCCCTTTTTTGCATGATTTTATGTTGTGTGTGCATATGATCCTATATTTAGTACACAAGATGTGTTAAACCCATTTTCTACCTTTTCCTCAATATTTTAGGTTCGGATCGTTGAAGGGATTGTGACAACTTTTGAAGGAAGACTTGGATTCTCATTCTCCAAGTTAGGTAGGTCCTCATCACTTCGAGGACAATGTCATTTTCTAGCATCGGATATTGAATAGTCTTAAGACAATATGTTCATTTCCTTTGAGTATTAAAGATTGTATAGCCTATATGTGACTTTTATTGTATTGATTTTACGGGCTATGCTTAATTGTTATACTCTTGTTTAGATTGTTATGAGATGATACATCCGATTTTAAGAATATATATATATATATATATGCAATAAAAGTAGAAGACTATGTAATCTTCTTATATGAAGGGTCTATGTATAGTCGATATGAATATATATTATGTGTATGCGAAAGGCCAATGTAAACATGATGATAGATAGAAGAAAAGTTTTAAATTTTCCTTATTTTTAACCTATGAATGTAATGATGTAAGCTAAGAGGCTAGTCTTAGTCCTCTATGAGGACGACAACGCCGGTTACGTTTAAGGGGTGCTCCCCGGATGTGACAGTTTCATAACAAATTTTAAATTATCTTGTGAATTTTAAAATTGTTTAATTTTTGTGGTGCTGACATGTGTCACTTTTTATTTCTCTTATTATATATAGATAGATTATGAATTTGACATGTGTTATTCCAGAATAAATATAATACATTTCTAAGACCATCTTCAAACCACCTCTATTTTACTCTGAATTTCTTATATTTGGAGAGTAAAATAGATAATGGGAACTCCAACCCACCTCCCAATCATCCTCTATTCTCCATTTATAGAGAGGTGAATGGTAGCTCTCCAAGTTTGAAAAACTGCTATTCAGACTCTCTATTTAATTTTTTTATTTTTTAATTATTATTTGAGAAAATGCACAAATACCCCCCCTCAACATATGCCCGAAATTTCAGAGACATACTTATACTATACTAAGGTCCTATTACCCCCTGAACTTATTTTATAAGTAATTTTCTACCCCTTTTAGGTCTATGTGGCATGAACTTGAGAAAAAAAGTCAACCAGCATTGGGACAACAAGATAGTGCCACGTAGGCCGAAAAGGGGTAGAAAATTATTAATAAAATAAGTTCAGGGGGGTAATAGGACCTTGGTATAGTATAAGTATGTCTCTGAGATTTCGGACATAGCTTGAGGGGGTACTTATGCATTATCCCTTATTATTTCTATTACTTTCTATTTAACATATTATTTTGCATATAATTCCATTAATTAAATATCTAATATTTATAATTCTTTTTTAAATGCAATGTAATAATTTTGAACTATTTTTTAATATATACTATTTTAATTTCAAATTAGTAGTATTTTAAATTTTTTTTCTAATATTCTTCAATAATAACATTTAATTTTATCATTAATTTTCATTATAAAGAATACACAAAATTAAAATGACAAGATTAATAATTTAATTAAAAATACATATATGATCATTTAAGTACAAGATAATAATACAATAAAATAATAATTTAAATACAAGATAATAATACAATATAATACATGACATAAGTCATGCTTAATTTAGTTTGTCTAACACCGATAACGATATCAATATTTTAGAGTCGTCACATTTATTTTCCCATCTTGCTAGCTGTATTGCGCCTCCCATCCATTATGTTATTCAATGAATAGAATACAATATGGTTATTATTAGCTGATGGTATATACCCTAAATGGTTTACAATTGTTTAAACTATTTGCATACTCATTCCTAAAAGAAGAAATATTTTGCAATGAAACAGGAATCGCACCAAAAAGATAACGGACGTGCATTCAAATTTTTGCAATCACGTTTTTCAATTATTGCAAGACCATAACGTTTTTGGAGAAAAAAAAGTGATACATGATATAATAACTACATGTATTATATTGTACAACATGATAATTGAGGATGAACGTGATCTCAATGCACCAGTTCAAGATGATGTAGAGGTTGCAACTCCAACAGTAGAAATGGTGGTAGATGAAAATCTCCAGTTTGAACAATTTTTGAACTCCTTTTATGCATCAATAGAGAAGTTATGGGAGCAAGATAATGATTTTTAAAATTGAGCATATATGCAATTGTATATCACTTTTATTTGAATTTGGACCCTAAATTATGTATGATATTATATTATCTTGCAATTTATGTTATATTTAAAATTTTAGAATAAAATATAATTTTACATCACATTAAAAATTATATAAAGTAATTATTTGGGAAAAAATAAAAAAATTATATTATGAAATAAGAAAATAAAAATGAAATAGAAATAATAATATAAATATTAAGTA